GTTTTCATATTTACCACATATCTGGTAGGCTAGCTCAAGGTAAGCTAGGCTCAGAGTGGGCTATGCTCGAGGTTTTACAGAGTGAGCAGCTTTAGATTCTCACCTCAAAAGACATCTCTGCCCCAATATGAATTTTGATGGTTTGCTGGTTAACACATGAAAAGAAATAGGAGGGTCAAGAAAAAGTTGGTTTGAGTTAAGGATTTAACCCAACAACAAAACTTGGAAAAAATATCTCTCAAGAAGAAATGTAGAATGGTTGAGACTTAAAAAGTTTTTATGACATTGAAGGGCATTCATTTCTTTTTCTTTTCACAATTTTTTGTTTTTCCTTTTTTCACATTTTCTTTTCATTTCTTTCATTTTTTTTCCTCCAAGTGACTTACAATAGTTGTTTTAAGACTCTCTAAGGTCTTAACAAACAAGAGTGATATGAGTAAACCTTATAAAAAATGTATCGAAAATCTCAAAACATTCGATCCTTTTTTTATCAAGAGCATTTTCAAGGAAAACAATTTTTTTTTTAACAAATCATATATGATATGAATGATGCATGGATGAATTTACGACTTTGACTTTTTTCTTTTGAGAAAAATAACTCAATTTCCACACACTCACATCTTTTTAACAACTACTTGACTAAAATCATGGGTTACCAAACTTCATTGGTTCCCTTTTTCTTTAACGTTAGCAAGCTATTAGTCATTTCAGACTTTCAATCTTAACAAAATCAAAGATGACTTCAAAAAATATTAGGTATAAATGGGTGGTTTTTACTCCCAGGATAAGATATGGAAATAATTTGTCATATTTACAAAATCCAAACCGGATTATCATATATGCAAATATGGAAAAAATAAATTAGCTACCCATTGCGAATACCATTGAATAATACTTGATCTCTTTTTTCTTTTTTTCTTTTGAATACAACATCGAAGATATATGCCAATTACGTTGAGCTATACTCGTTTTCATAATACTTGATCTCATTTATTTGATGATACATATAAACTTAAATTAATTTGATAGATAAGCTAATTGATCCTTTTAATATATTCTTTCAAATACAGTCACATTTAAATAATATTTCCTTCATGTCTCACAACATGAAGATTTCGAGCTTTTCTACGAAGAAACACAAGAGGTTTAGTTTTATTGATCAATGACACACTAAATGAAAACCAAACGTTGAAACAACTAGAAAGTCATAGAAGAAAACAGATGAAGGAGGCCTTCTTTAAGAACGATAGCAAATGATCCATGTGATCTTCTTTTGCTTTATTATAAATTTTACCTGCAAAACCAACATTTATTTTCAGCTTACGTAAAATGCATTATGAGATATAGATGCATTTGTTTGAGTAATGCATTGAGTTTTGTATCTCTTGAATAAGAAGCTCACCTTTACTTAGTATAAGGTATATTGACCTAATAGTAGTAAGGAGATGGCGGAGGAGGAGGCGACCTCCTTGGTCCTGGTAGTGGTACTGGAGGAGGAGGTGATCTCCTTGGTCCCGGTAGCGGTACTGGAGGAGGAGGTGATCTCCTTGGTCCCGGTACTGGAGGAGGAGGCGACCTCCTTGGCCCTGGTAGTGGTACTGGGGGAGGAGGTGACCGCCTTGGTCTCGGTACTGGAGGAGGAGGTGACCTCCTTGGTGCCGGTAGTGGTACTGGAGGATACCTTTTTGGTGGTGGTGGTGGTGAACGGGCTGGCTTCTTTGTTGGTGGTGGTGGAGGTGGTGATTTGTCTTCATTATTTTTTCGTGGTGGTGGAGGAGACTTGTAATCGTAGTCGTTCTTAGGAGGTGGAGGAGAGTAATAAACAGGCGGTGGAGTATAGTAGTAGCCAGGTGGTGGAGTAGAATAATAAACCGGTGGTGGAGGAGAGTCGTCGTCATAGCCTTGGGAGGTTGTGGATGGGAAGCTTAGAGCTGCTACCAAAACTGCAAAAACAAGGGAGGCCATTAAAGAAGAAGAGCCCATCTTTGTTTATAAATGGGTTTTCCCTTTTGTTCTGATTTTGAACTGAACCCTCCAAGGCCTTTTATATAGTTTTCAGATCCTTGATTATTACTCTTCCAAGGCAAATCAAGTCTATGTAACTTGTAAATTTATTCAAAACATTAATAGTTACCTAACCAAGCGTGGAATTAGTTAAACATCAACAATAAGTACTATAGGGGCAAATTTGTAAGTTTTTGTGGAAATTAATAAAAGGTTGGAGGCTTGCTTGTTTGTATGAAACAAAATATATACACACCTAGACTCTTTGGCCACGATTGATAACCCTTTTTTTTTTTTAATTTTGTAAAAATTCAACTTATAGACAGTATTTTCACCCATGTGTTTATTTGTTGTATTTTCTCCTATTTAGAAATTATTTCTTTTATAATCTCACCACGGTAATATTTTATCGACATGTCGACATTTTCATATATTCATGGGCTAGACATCAACCTGAGGGATAAATGAATATTTTCATAGTATTGAAATATATATATATATATATATATATATATATATATATATAAACAAAATATCACTAACATAGACATAATATTAATATCGTAACTATTATTGGGTGACTCATTGATCCAAAGAGACTAAGTAAAATTGAGAGGGAATGTGTTCGCCAAAGTAAAATTTGGCTAAGGATTTAAACCTTGTTTTTAAGGAAAATTAAAAACGATTAAATGGGTCTAAAGTTTTTATATTTTATTTGTTATGTTTTTTAATTCATATTTTCGTATTAATTATCATTTTTCACAATTTTGGGTTTTTAAGATTTAAGATTATTGTATAGATTTCTTTGTTGAACTTTCCCCTTTTTAAAAAACACTAGTTCTTAATGTCTTTCATATGTTTCTTTTGTTTAATTTTTACATTTTAAAAATACTTTTATAATCTTAGATAAATTTCAAAAGCTAACATATAATTTTATCCCTAATAATCTATAAAATTCAATTTTTCCTTGATATATGAAAATTTCCAATTAAGTTATTACTGTCAATACTGCTAAATTTATTAACAGTTTTCTGATGTGACTTTAAATATTATTGAATAGCAAAGAGGAAGTTGAAAAATACTAACATAGCGACGAAATTGATTAGGACAAAACTGAATATAAAAAATCAAAAATAGATTTGTTTTTTCTTTTTAAATACAAATTTTAATAATGTTCTTAAAATAGAGTGCCATTGCAGAGTATATATATATATTTATTTATTTATTATGTGTGTGTTCACACGCAAGTTTCATCGAGGATTGAAGAGGAAAGGTGGAAGAAAAGACTTGAGATGAATTTAGGAGTCTTTGTGCAAGTCATATGCGTTGAGAGTCGCACGTACGATAACGAAGGGTTTCTGTATATAAATATATGTATATAGATATATATATATGTATATGTATGTATGTATATAATTATTTTTTTTAATGTAGCGTTGCGTTGAGTTTGAATTCCTTGTAATAAAAGCACCTATTAAAAAATTAATAATATTTTTTTAATACATGTACAAAAATATAACAGGCAAAATTGGATAATAGAATTAGGCATAGATTTTTTAAATAACATTATAATTTTTTTTTTAAATATAGTTCTTTTGAAATATTTCAATATATATATATATATATATATATATATATATATAAATATTTTCGCCAATGTGGATGATAAATTTATCAAGTTTGACTTCCTTTTAATTAGAGGATCTATCAAAAAAATAATCTTACTAAGACAATTACTATAGATTAAATGGATTTCAATGTGATCCTATTTAATAAATTATTTTGGTTTTTACAGGTTGGCTAAGATTTCAAATACGCTTTTTAAATGTAAATTATAAAATATATATAAAAGTGTTAGAAAAAAAAAAGTTTTACGAAATAGAAACTAGAAATAAAAATATGTCTCAAAAGATAGTTTTGGATGGCATGTAATTTTTTCCTTTCTTGTTCACGGTTTCCTATTTCTTGGTGTAAGGTTTTCAACAAAAATATGTTGGGTAATAATTTCATATTTGTTGTTTTTTGTTTTGTGTCATTTATTTATTTTGTCACAAAAAATATTGCCTAAAAATTTATTGTTTTCTATGAAGTCAAATTTTAAATTAAAAGGTAAGTTTTACTTGAAATTAATTTTTGAAAAAACAAAATATTCAAATTTGTTGTTATATTAAATTTATAAGTAAAAAACATGAAATAGTTCTATTATTTTTATTTTAAAAACTGAGAATATAGAGTAAGAAACAAGAAATCCTTTTTAAAAAATTTTAAGTTTGTATCTTCAAAATTAGAATTTAGTGTCTAGAATACTGCCATACATTTCAACATAATTAAAAACAATAAATAAGAAAGATGCATATAGTTTCAGGAAAAAAAAAAAGGACAAACTACTTCCCAATTTTTTATTTTTGTTTCTTAGATTCTAGCTAAAGTTTCAAAAGTATTTTTAAAAAATAAATTAAATAAGTAAAACATTGATCTCTTCCTTTGGTGGGTTCAGCTTAATAATCTAATTCTATCAAATGTAGTTTTTTTTTTGGATAAAGTCTATGAAATGTATTTTACAATTTAACTTATCATGATTGTACTTTGATATTTTTAAAAGGTTAAACTTGTCACGTTAGTTCCAATCAATTATTAATAAATTATGCAAAGGTAAACATAACTCAAACTAAGAGATTGTGAGTTCGATTCTCCACCTACAGAGGTTGTACTAAAAAAAATTAATAATAAATTATTTAGATTAGTAATAATTTTGATTAAAAAGAGAGAAAGTAATTTAAGATTTATGTAATTTGTTGCTATTAATTAATAGTGGCGAGTCTAATAATTTAAAAGTTGAAAAGTAAACATAATGGACTATAAATATTATTCATAGAATAATCAATTTTTAATATATATAGATTATAGTATTAATTTTATTTAAAAATTAATAAATTTAAATTTTAAAATTAAGAAATTAAAAACAAAATTGACATGAAATAATTTTTTACTTTGTTTTTCTTGCCAAGGTTATTAAATAAATCTTATTTACCTTGATAGTGGCTCGAAAATCCTTCACTTTCAAGATTTTTTTTGGGTATTTTATTGAGTCGGCTCCCTTACAAAGTGAATAAAATTGATCGGCCACTCTCTATGTAAATTCAAGAATAAACATTGAAGAACCCTTTGGTAATGTTCTTATTTCTGTTACTTCATTTTGGGTAAAGAAAAATGAATTGCATGGTTCCAAAATCCATGAATTCAAGTTGGGTAAAACTATCTTTTTATTTATGTGTTTGAACAAATTGGAAATGGGAACAAAAACGAAGAAACTTGTTTTGGTTGTTTCCAAAATTTCTATATGAAATTGAGAACATCCCCAAAAATGGAGAAGCAATCAATATGATTAATTGTAAAATGCTTAGATTTCTTAAGAAAATTGAAATCGAGAAACAAAAAACAAGAACGTTATCGAACGAGGCCTGAGTTTACTGTTCTCTGTTCCATTTAAGTAGTGAGGTACTAGTGCGTTGACTTAATAAGTTGTAGATCCGTAAAAAGTCTCATTTATATGCATTAATTTTTATTTTTCAATATCATTAATGATTGGTGTGTGCTATATATTCCATCTTCTTCCTCATAAAATAATATGGCAAAAGACAATTCTCCCTTTTCAATCCCTCCATATCACACAATATTCTAAAGTATATATAATTTTTTTTTAATCTATTAGATTTTTCTCAATATGGTACTTAATCTTTTAACATTTTTAATTCTACCTTTTATGTACTAAAAATTCTCAAATTACGTCCTTTAAATTAAAAATATATTACAATTTGTTAATTTGAAATAGTTGTGTCATTAAGCCCATTTAATAACTATTTATGTTTGGGATTAGATAAACCTTTTAAAGATGGTAATTACAAAAATGGATTCATCGTACAAAATTTACACTTTTATCTTAAAATACACCCTTAGATGAACCCATATGCATTTTACCAATATACACTTTTTATATAGATGTAATTATTATTAAGATATGAAAATTAAAAATGGAAAAATTGTTGATTTGGATTTACATTTTAAATCTGCAACTTTGCACTCCCCAAAAAAAACTTCCTTAATTTTTAGTTATTTCTTAATCTTCTTCATTCGTCTTTTTTTTCTCTCGCTTTTCACAATTGTTTCCAGTAGGGCATCTCCTCGTCTTTTTAGTGTTCTTCGTTTTTTGTCGTTACCGTCTTCGACAACCCAGTTCCAATTCACTCCCTTTTCATCATTATTTCCGGTAGCCAGTTTTCTGCCATTTACGTTTTAAATATTCTAGGTTTGTTTTTTATTTCTGATTTTGGGTGTTCGATTTTTGGGGTATTTAAAAAGTATTCGATGGTAACGTCGTATATATTTGATCATGTATAGGTTATTTGCTTTGTTTGTTAATTGTAGAGAGATATAGCCGTATATACTTTATAGAAAAATATAAGTTATATTTTCATATAAGTGTATGTTATAATGGCTACAGTTTATATCACCATTGTTAAGTGTATGTTGCTTAGGTTTATAGTCGGATATAGTTTATATTTCCATATAAATGAAAAGGTAGCTGGATATAGTTTATATCTCCATATAAATATATATATATATCTCCATGTAAGTCTATATTATAATGGCTATAGTATTGAAATTGAGTCAAAAATTGGAATGAAATGAAAAAATATTTTGTAATAAATTTTGTTGTAGAATATATTAAGGAGTAAATTAGGGATTATGAGAATAATTGATTTAGGTCCCACAATAGTTTAATGTTTACCAAATCAAATTTGGAACATTAATCTTTTGCATTTAAATAAAATACTAATTATAATAAATATAAATGTCATAAATAAGGGCAAATTTGTAATTTGGAAAAAGTTTTTAATCCATAATCTAAGACCGTAAAATTTGTAAACATTGGACATTTGTGAAAATAAGTTTCCAAAAGCTCATCCAAGACATTATCTATTTCTATTTTTGGTTTTTGGTTTCTATGTTTTTAGTTTTTGATTTTTGATTTTATGTTTTTAAAAAACAAAAACCATATATGTTCGATAACCATTTTTTGTTTTTTGTTTTTAAAAAACAAAAAACCAAACATGTTTGGTAACCATTTTTAGTTTTATGTTTTTAAAATGTTGGAAAATTGAAAATACATATTAGAGAGAGAAAATTCTATGTAGAGTAGAGATGACAATGGTGTGGGTGCAAGTGAGGATGCTCTCCCCCATTCTCATGCTTGTGAAAATTTTGGTTCCCCGTCTCCACCTCATTATTTGGTCTGAGAGATGTTCTCGAGAAAAATTATCGGTTTTATAATTGTTTTTAGAATTTACAAAATTAAAAAAGTATGATAATATATATTAATTATTTAAATAATGGAATCGAGGACAGGGTCGGGACATGCATTTCATATTTTTGGGGCCCGACCCTACGTAAATTTTTGTTATCCCTAATAACATGAAAATACAAGTTTGGAGAGATGTAAATAAAATTTTGAAAGATAAATTTTAGAGAGATAAATAAAAAGATTTACAAAAAAAAATTAGTGAAACGAAAGTTAAAGACAAAAGCAGAAAAATTTTAGAGAGAAAAAAGTAAAGTTGAGAGGAAAAGATATGTTAAGGAAAAAAAACCAGAAAGAAGCACAAAAGTTATCGTGGAAAAAATTTATAGATAAAAACAAGATTCAAAATATAATTTTTAGAGAAAATAAATAAATCCAGAGATAAATAAAAGTTACAGTGTAGGAAAATTCAACGAGAAAAGAAGATATAAATTTAGATGAAAAATAGATTAGGAATAGAAAGAAAAATTATAAAAGATGAAATTTTAGAGAGAAAAAAATCGGAAAAGTATTAAATTTTTAGAGAGAAATGAAAACTGATCTGTTAGAAAAAAAAATAAAAAAATAGAGACGAAATATTTTGAGAGAGAGACATAATAATAAATATTCAAAATATGAAAATTTTAGAGGCAGAAAATTAAGTTTTGTAGAGAGAAATTTATAAAGAAACAAATTTTAGAGTAACAAAGAAATTTTTTAAAGATAAATATGAGGAATAAAAAAAAGTTGAATATTAGAATAAAAAATCATATTTTGAAAAATAGAAATCTATTTTTGAAATTTTTTTTAAATTTACATAAAATTTTAAAATAATTTTTGAAAAACAAAAAATAGAAAATTGAATTGGTTATCAAACAATTATGTTTTAAAAAACTAAAAACCAAAAACAATTATCTGTTTTGTTAACATATTTGGAAAAAAGTAAGCATGAAACTTGGACATGTCACGTTTGGAAGAAATAGTTCTTTGGTGGGCAGGACAAATTTTGCTTATGACGAGATTGAGTATTATAGGTCAAGTAGCATCCAAATGTCATATGTTCATGCGATCAAATATGTTAATAAATCATAATATATCAATCCTTGTTAACAAAATTTAATAGATATTTTTAATATAAGAATTTAATTGATAATTTTAAAATATTAAAGACTAAATTGAGAAAAACTTAAACGATTAAAATCATTTTCGTATATTTAAGAAAAAGAGTCAGCGTGTTTAATTATTTATAGTTATATTTTAAAATCATGCCAAGATGAAAATTAAAAAAAAAAATCATCCAAAAAAGTTAACTATAAAACCGTTAACAAAGACAACAATGAATTTTTTTTTTTCAAATAATACTTATTTTCAAACTTATTTTTTAAATAATGTTAGTTTGAAACCTATTAAATATATAATGCATGGGTGAAAATTTATTCAAAAATAAAACTTTTGAAATTGTGTTACCACATTTAGTCGTCTCTTCAAGAGACGACTACGCCATTTTCAGCACTTGGTCGTAGAGACGACTATAAGACGTGGTGCTCACGTCTAATTATTATTATTATTTTTTAAAATCAAGATATGATTGTCTCTTGAAGAGACACGATCTATTGGTGTGCATTTGTGGTCGATTCTTCCAGAGACGACTACAGTGATGTTGATTTTTAGAAAAAAGATTAAATATTTTTATTTATATATTATATAGTAGCATTTATATATATCAGACATGGCGCCAAAAAAGCGACACGTCTTAAGAGACGACCAAGTGCTGAAAATGGCACGGTCGTCTGAAGAGACGACTAAGTAGTATAACAATTTCAAAAGTATTATTTTTGGAATAAATTTCCACCCATGCATTATATATTTAATAGGTTTCAATCTAGCATTATTTCACAAATAAGTTTGAAAATAAGCATTATTTAGAAGAAAAAAAAATCCTCCATTTCCTAGCCTAATCTATATAGGGCCGACCACACCTAGAGATAAAATTTACTTGAAAATGAGATTATTAAAAGATAGAATAAAAATATTGTTGGGATAATAGAGCCAAAACAGATGACCCATGTCTACGAGGAAAAGGATTTTCAAACACTACTACCAATTCCTACAAGGAGTAGGATATTATTGTCTTATAAGGATTACAATATTGTTTTCCTATAAGGATTGAGATATTTGACCTCTTATAAATAGAACCCTTTTGTTAAGGTTTCATAAAGAGCAAGTTTAGTGCATTTTTCATATTTTTTGGTTAAATTGAACCCGATCAAAGATCCAAATTGACGCTTGTGTAAAAGCCAAATTCGTTGCATTTTATCTTATCTTCGATTAAATCAAACCCGATGAAGGTCGAAGCCTGTGTGAAATTCAGGTCCGTTGCATTTTTATTGTATCTTTAGTTAAATCAAACCCGATTAGAGATCGAGGTCGAATCCTGTGTAAAAGCTAGGTCCATTGGATTTTATATTATCTTTGGTTAAATCGAACCTGATCAAAGACCGAGGTTGAAGCCTGTGTAAAAACTTGGTCCGTTGCATTTTATCTTTATCTTCGGTTAAATCGAACTCAATAAAAGATCATGGGTGCAAATTCCTATCTTAATTACATTGTTGTAATAAAGAAAAGATATTAGTTTATATATCTTGATGCTAATTATATATTACTGTATTTTATAATAATAATAATTTTTTTCTGTAATTCATTTTTTAAAAGTAAATTAATTGAAATTTAAAAAATATATTTTATTTTGGTTCCATATAAATTTTATATAAAAAATTAATTTTAAATTAGAAACTAAAAGAGAATTATAATATCAATTTTTTATTATTTCATATTAGTAGTATATATGCTAAAAGACCCTTCATTTTCCTTTTTTTTTCTGACAGCTAGTAGCTGATATATGAGATAAAATTGGAATAATAAAAAATCTAAAAATAAAAATTCAAATAATTTGTCATGCAAAATTTAAAAGGAGTTGTCATATAGCAAATATGAGGGGGAAAAAACTACCCAATGCGAATACCGTTTAGTAAATACTTGATCTCATTATTTGATGATATATAAAAACTTAAATTAATTCGCTAGAAGTTAATTAATCCTTTTAATATATTGTTTCAAATACAGCCACATTTAAATAATATTTCCTTTTTGTCTCACAATATGAAGATTTCGAGCTTTTCTACGAAGAAACACAAAAGGTTACGTTTGATATTATTGATGAACGACACACTAAATGAAAACCACACGTTGAAACAACTAGGAAGTCATAGAAATTCTGAAACAGATGAAGGAGGTCTTTCTTTAATAACGATAGCAAATGATCCATGTGAATCTTCTTTTGCTTTATTATGACTTTTACCTGCAAAACCGACATATATATTCAGTTTTGTATCTCTTTTAAGTAACAAGCTGACCTTTACTTAGTATAAGGCATATTGACCTAATAGAAGTAGGGAGATGGCGGGGGAGGAGGCGACCTCCTTGGTCCTGGTAGCGGCACTCGGGGTCCTGGCAACGGTACCCTCGGTCCTGGCAGTGGCACTCGAGGTCCTGGCAGTGGTACCCTCGGTCCTGGCAGCGGTACCCTCGGTCCTGGTAGCGGCACCCTCGGTCCTGGTAGCGGCACTCTGGGGTCTGGTAGCGGCACCCGAGGTCCTGGTAGCGGCACTCGGGGTCCTGGTAGTGGTACCCTCGGTCCTGGTAGCGGCACTCTAGGGTCTGGTAGCGGCACCCGAGGTCCTGGTAGCGGCACTCGGGGTCCTGGTAGCGGTACCCTCGGAGACCTCCTTGGTGACGGTGGAGTAGAATAATAAACGGGTGGTGGAGGAGAGCCATCGTCATAGCCTTGGGAGGTTGTGGATGGGAAGCTTAGAGCTGCCACCAAAACTGCAAAAACAAGGGAGGCCATTAAAGAAGAAGAACCCATCTTTGCTTATAAATGGGTTTTCTTTTTTGTTCTGGTTTTGAACTGAACCCTCCAAGGCCTTTATATAGCTTTCAGTTCCTTGATTATTACTCTTCCAAGGCTAACCAAGTCTATGTAACTTGTAAATTTATTCAAAATATTAATATTTTACCTAACCAAAGGTACGTGGAATTAGTTAAACATTAACAACATAATCAATTGCAAGAGGTCAACGATTATGTGAGTTACTCAAACAATCCCAATCAACCCTTCTTATAATAGAAGAACAGATAATTACTATTTATGCTAAAACGAATGGTTCCGAATTTAACATTTTGAAAAGACCGTGTACAATACTTTTGTGTTTACGAGCCAAAATTTTAACACGAAAAAAGGCGAAATACTATATTTTATTCGATACAATTTTTTTTCTTCTTATCAGGATCCTCTGTAATAATGAGAAAGATTTCTGGATATACGCACAAATCGATCAATTATATCAAAATCCGACAAGTCGATCCAAGTCGTCATATTATTGAGATGCCCTAATACGTTACAAATGAAAATAGAGCTAGCAATCTGATTTGCTTGTTCCAAAAAATATCTTGTCCCTAGAGTTTGTAGAATAGAAAATGATATCTATAAGAATATAGCATTTTACAATGCAAATAAAGTGAAAACTCGAGATCAAAGTTTTAGATAAAGAAGCAAACATCTTGATAGATATATGATTACTCATGCTTACAAAAACGACGTTGTTTTTATGATTTGGATCCATTATTTACGATTTGGATCAATTATTTACTCAATGGAATCGGTTCTTGAATAATATTCTCCAAATAAAAGTCAGAACATAGAGGCAAATTTGCAGGTTTTTGTGGAAATAAAAAGTTGGAGGCCATATTTTGTTTTTTTTTTTTGTTTTTTTTTTGTTGTGAAAATTGCTTATAAGCAGTGCTTTCACTTATGTGTTTATTTGTTATCTTTTATTATGTTTAGAAATTAGTTTTTTTTTATATGTATAATCTAGCCACGGTATTAAATATCATCGATATGTCGACGTTTTTATCGACATTTCCATACATCCATGGGCTAGACATCAACATGACAGATAAATCGATATTTTCATATTATTGCAAAATAGAATAAACATATCAACAAAATATCACTAACATATACATAATATTAATATTAATATTAATCATTACCATTATTGGGTGAGTCATTGGTCCAACAAACTAGGGTCAATTGAAAGGGATGTTCACGAAGTTCTTACTTTTAAAATTTGGCTAAGAATTTAAATGTTTTTATTGGAAAAAAAAAACTAAAAACAAGATATTATTAAATGGGCATAAAAGCTTTTGTATTTTACTTTTTATGTTTCTAAATTCATGTTTTTGTATTATAATTTCTACAATTCTTGGTTTCTAAGATTTAAGCTTACTATTTATTATTTTCTTTGTTTAACTTTCCCCAACACTAGTTCTTTATGTCCTTCATATGTTTTTTTTGTTTCATTTTTACCTTTTAAAATCTTAGCTAAATTTCAAAGCTAACATATAATTTCATCCCTAATGATCTATAAATTTCAATTTTTTCCTTAATATATGAAAATTCTCAATTAAGTTACTACTGTCAGTACTGCTAAAGTTGAAAAATACTCACATAGGGACGAAATTGAAAATTACCTAAAGATTTGGAAAATTTTGAATATAAAAAATCAAACGTAGATTTGTTTTTTTCTTTTTCCTTTTTTTTTTCATAAATAAACATTTTAATAATATTCTTAAAATAGAGTGTTGATATATTATATATATATATATATATATATATATATATATAATTAGTTTTCTAAGCCAAAACGAGTATAGCTAAACGATTTTTTTTTTAGTACAACATGTGGAGATTGAGATCGAACTCATAACCTCTTGGTTGGAAATATATGTCAATTACCACTGAGCTATGCTCGTTTTGGCTAGCTAAACGGTAATTGACTGTGGCGTGGATGATAAATGTATTGAGTTTTTGACTTCCTGGTAATAAAAGCACTTATTAAAATGTTGTACTAAAAAAAGCACCTACTAAAAAAATAATGTTATTAATGGTTAATGTGTAATATTATTCATCAAAAGGTTCGTAATTCGAATCCCCACCTCAAATTAAAAGTAATTGAAAATGAACAAAATTGAATATTATAATTAGGCATAGATTTTTTAAATAAACATTATAAAAATATTTTTAAAATATAGTGCCTTTGAAATATTTCAAAAAAATATATAATTATTTTTGCTAATGTGGATGATCAATTAGTTTGACTTCCTTTTAATAAGAGGATCTATCACAAAAATTGTCTTACTAAGACAGTTACAATGGATTAAATGGATTTCAGTGTAATTATATTTAATAAACTATTTTGGTCTTTTAACCATTTTGGCTAAGATTTCAAATACGCTTTTCAAACGTAAATTAAAAAATATATAGAAGTGTTTCGAAAAAAATAGTTTTATGAAATAGAAACTAAAAATAAAAATATGTCTAAAAAGAGAGTTTTGGATGGCATGTAATTTTTTCTTTTCTTGTTTATGGTTTCTTATTTCTTGGTATAAGGTTTTGGAAAAAGAGAACAAACATGTTTGGTAATAATTTCGAATTTTTTGTTTTTTGTTTTGTGTTATTTAATTTTTTTTCTTTTGTTAGAAGTAGAAACAGAAATAATTTACCTATAAATTTATAGTTTTCTATTATCTCAAATTTTAAATTAAAAGGTAAGTTTTACTTGATATTAATTTTTGAAAAAACAAAATATATTCAAATTTATTGTTATATTAAATTTATAATTAAGTAAAAAACATTAAATAATTCTATTATTTTTATTTTTACAAAACTAAGAATATAGAGTAGAAAAAATAAATCATTTTTTTAAAAAATTTAAGTTACAATTTTGGGAACATTTTAATTTAGAGTCTAGAATATTACCATACATTTCAACAAATTTAAAAACAATAAATAGGAAAGAAAGCATATGGTTTCAGAAAAAAAAAAAAAAGAAAAAAAGGACAAATGACTTCCCAGTTTTTTGTTTTTGTTTCTTAGATTCTAGCTAAAGTTTCAAAAGTATTTAAAAAAAAACGAAATAAATAAATAAAACATTGATCTCTTCCTTTGGTGGGGTTAGCTTAATAATTTGAGTTAAAAAAAAACCAAATATATCAAATGTATTATTATTTTTGTTAGCATTTAACTTATCGTGATTGTATTTGGATCGTTTTAAAAGGTTGTTACAATTAATTATTTGAATTAGTAATAATTCTATTTTTAATTAAGGAGAGAGAAAGTAATTTAAGATTTATGTAATTTGTGGCTATTGATAAGTGGCATGTCTAGTAATTAAAAAATTGAAAAGTAAACATAATTGACTATAAATATTTTTCTAGAATAATCAATTTTTAATATATTATATATTATAGATATTAATTTCATTTTAAAATACATAAATTTAAATTTTAAAATTAAGAAATTAAAAACAAAATTCACATTCTTATTAATTTTATAGTGGCTCGAAAATCCTTCCCTTCCAATATTCTTTGAATATTTTATTGAGTCGATTTACTATTCTTTGTTCCACCTTTAATGTAGTTAGTAGTGAGGCACTAGTGCGTTGACTTAATAAGTTGTACACCCCTAAAAAGTCTCATTTATATCCATTAATTTTTATTTTCCAATATCATTAATGATGGTGTGTGCTCTATATTCTACCTTCTTCCTCAAAATAATAATAATAATAGTAAAATAATATTCTCAAAAGGCAATTCTTCTTCTTTTTATCCTTCCATATTGGTGACGTAATATTCTAAAAAAAAGAGTAAGTATCTATATATATATATATATAAAAACTAGATATATCAAATGGTTGATAATCTATTATGTTTTTCATAATTTGGTGTTTAATATTTTAAAATTCTCAATTTTATCTTTGTTATATTAAAGATTCTCAATTAAGTCCTTTAAATTAAAAATATATTAAAATTTGTTAATTTAAAATAGTTGTGTCACTAAATTATTGGTTTTGTAAACATAATTGGGAAAAGTAGGCATGTACTTGGACGTGTCACACTTGGAAGAAATAGATCTTGTTGATGGACATGAAGAATTTGATATATTTAAGAAGAAGAGTCGTGTGTTTAATTCTTTATAGTTATATTTTAAAATCATGCCAAGATTAAAAAAAAAAGTTTTCAGTTATATATCCGTTAACAAAGGCAGCAATAATTGTAACATAGAATTCAATTTCGTAACCTAACCTATATAGGGCCGGCCACACCTAATGAGAGATAAAATTTACTCCAATATGAGGTCAGTAAAATATACATTCAAACTGTCGATCTAAACATAGTTTAATTGATTAAAGTATATCGATAAACTAAATGTGGTTAAAGTATATATTTTCGACTAAAAAATTGAGATTAGATCCTACCGATCCAAACAGAAAAAAAATAAAATAAAAATTGATTGAAGCAAAACCAAAACAACTACCTTGTTTAATTTGTCATAATGTTCATTGGTTCTCGTTTTTTTTCTTTTGAGCACAACAACTAGGGTGGAGAGATTCGAACTCGTGAACTCTTAATCACATGCTCGCTTCATTGTTCGAAACATAACGAAGAATTTGCTTATTGTTTGGACACCATGCTTGAAATCTTCTTTCTCCCTTACAACTCTCAAACAATAAAATTATTCTCCTCCAAAAAAAAAACAAAAACAAAAACAAAGAAAGAAGAAGAAAGAAAAATCTCGTAATACCGTGTTTTTTTAGTTCATTAGAGACCAATAGGACTCGTTTGTAATATTTTAGTTTCTTGGTTCTCGTTTCATATTTGTTAATAAAGAAAATTACAATTGCATTGATAAATATTTCTTGTTTCTAATTTTTCATTGAAAAAAAAAAGAAGAGAATTTAATTTTGTTGGAAATGAGAACAAGAAAAGAGAAATTTGTTTAAAAAATTTTTATACAATTTTTGGGTGGAGAAATTTGTCAATAATG